AATAATCACATTGATCCAGTCTAATAGATAGGTGAACACTCCTTTAGCACAAAGTCCTGGAAAGGACTGCCTTTACAAACCGTTGCAGCTTAGATCTCCAAAAGCAAGGGTATTTTGCCTTGTTGCCACATACAAAGTGAAAATGCTGAAAAACATTAACATTCAACAATTTGTGTTAATGATTTAGAAAGCAGAAGTACCCTAAAACCACTGAGACTCCTCTGAAGAAGTAAACAGATAAGGCATCTCTTTTAAGAAGTGAAAGAAAAATGGAATCATAATCAAGGACTATATTCTAATCCCATTGACTGGGTAGCTGAGCATCCTCTCTCTACGTTAAAGAGGTGAGAAAAGATCAAGCTGTAACACATTAAGCTTATCATGAAAAAGCCATACTAGTACAAATCATGATCAAGTTACAAAGTGATTCCAAATGAACTATAATAAAAAATGTTAAGGATTAACCTAAAGATTTACACTGTATGCTACATTATGCTGCATCTATTGTGGTTTGTTGACATATGATTATGAAAGAAATGTAAACCCAGTCAGATGGGGAAGATAGACTCCACGTTAATTGAAAAAGACAAACTAAGTGAATAATGAGTATATAAAAAATAGCCTATGCCATTTTTATCACCCATATATGACACTTATTCTCAAATTTATGGCAGAGACAATTGAACTATGTTTCAAATCACTGGAGGTTATTTCTTACCAGGAATGCCTCCACGCATTTTTTCACCTCACTGTTTCTATTCTTATTCCATTACTATTGAAATACATATATATTACCAAAGCTGTAAATACTTGTCTGCTTCGAAAACGTCTATAATCACCCTGGTTTATCGTCTAAAGATGGATTCTTCAGCAAGAACCAGCATTCATTAAAGCCATGGAAATGGGAAAATGCTACTTTAAAACACAGGAAGGTAAAGTTTTAAATGAAAGCCTCATTTTAAAACCAAGCCAGCCAGTGAAAAAGAGCTATGATGTACCTAGGTGATATTTCTTATGATAGGAACATAAGGAGCAAGCCCAGCAACAGCTGACAAGGAGGTCAATAAGGACAGCTAGTTTTCTGGGCATCAGGGGTAAATATAACTACTGCAGCGCTCAGAAATAAGAGGTAAGCATAAGTAAACTTTCTTGACTCATGCACTGGATCTACCATCTCACGGTTTTCTCACCTTGCACCCTTCTGCATGCTGTTTCCAGGGTGCAGTGAAACAAGGGGGCAAAACAAATATTAATTTGAGGAAAAGTTTAGAATCACAGAATCATGAAATAAGGCAATTTGGATAATACAACCAAGCATTTAAACAAACTGAATAACATTTCGGTGGAGACAGTCCTGAAGGCAAGAACAGAATTTTACTGTTTAGTTTTATTTTTTGTTTGTTTGTTTTGTAGAACAAGGAAAAGTGGATATGGAATTTTCCCATCTCTATATGAACTAGAAAAAGGGTTTTATTCCATTTCCCTGATGAAAAAAAAAAAAAACTTTATAACTTTTCATATATAAATACAGAAATTCAAACTAGAAAACCTGAAAAGTGCAAAAGGAGAACTGAAAAAGAAAAAAAGAAAAAAAGAAAACAGTTAGACCCTTACTATAATCATGGATGTCATGAAGATAAGTGGAAAAGATAAAAATGCTACACATATCTAAAGATCACAACACCACCAAAAACTTCCAAAATAAAGCATTCTCAACTCCTCCAACTAAATCTCCACAAATTAAAAAAATAATTTTGTTTCCATCTAGATGACTGAAGCAACCAGTCTGATTTATGTTACAGAAGAAATAATACGCCTCTGGGGAAAATACAGCCTCTGAAGTCCTTCTCAGCTGTGGACAGGCCAAAGCTTAGAGTGTGCATCAAGAAGTAAAGAAAAAAAAAAAAGCGCAGGGGCCTCCAACATAACCAATCATGATTTGACAGCAAGAAAAAAAATATAACAAATAACATCCCACTCTGCCAAGCATCCACAAAGAGATCCTGAACACACACACAGAGGATACCTTTTCAAAAGAAGAAAAAACACAGTAGAACTGGGCTTCCTTCGCTAAATTCCAAAACCTCAAGCATCATCTGGAAGGTGCAGAGACGCAGGTGGGAATGAAGAAGTTAGACACGCTACCACACACCTCCTAGGTGTAAAGGGAGAGATACCAGAGCAACAAGATGACTTTCTCCCCTCACCAGAAGTTCAACTCGTGACCAGAGGACCCTGTTTCTGCTTCCAGTGTTTCCCTCCCACCACTTAAGCAAGCCAGAGAAGAGAAGACGGGATTGTGAAATCCCAGCAATCCTCTGCAATAAGCCCATTGCTTCACTGACCTTTCCCCTTAAGCTTTACAGAAACAGCTTCCTCCTGCTTCCAACTAATGTGGTTAGCCCCGAGCTCAAGCTGTGCTTCTGCCTGGAACATTTCAGCGCCACTGACATGCAGCTACAGTGACCCTGCCAGCATGTGTGACAGAATTTGTTTTTGCATTGAAGATATAATATTGTTTGGGTTCAAAGTAAAGCACTCACGAGTCAGAAAGTTTCCTGTGCAACTTTAATTCATCCCCTGGCGTGTTTATTCCCATTATCACCATGTTTAACTACAGGAGCACTTAGCATGTTTTCCAGTAGGACCCCTACTTGTTCAGCATAGGGGGCGGACAGTTCTCTAACAATCAATCAAGGCCAAGCAGGGATAAGGAAATCCATATGATCGCTACTCCATTTGTTGCTGAAGTTGGGAAAAGTAGGCAAAAAGCTCTAGGCCAGGGAAAAAGCACAATATTTATGAGATTTTGTATCTGTCACTGCCTCTCTGCTCTACGAACATCGGGCTTAAAAAAAAAAAAAAAAAGGGTGCTTGACACTAGACATCAACTGCATGTTCTCGACAGAACTTGATATGAAAAAGTGCCAGGCACTCATAATGGCCACTGAATAGAGACATCCAACTGACATTATTTTCTGGAGAAACCAGCACAGCACAGAGGCAGGTGAATCTGAATTCCACTTCTGTTCCGCCATTGATTATTTTTGTGACCCCAGATCACATCTTGTTTATTACGCTAATTTTACCGACGGGAAAACAATATTCTTTCATCTCAAAGAGGTGTTGAATCAATACCTGTGAGCCATTAAAATAATACATTAAGAAGCACCCTTGAAGAAGAGCATGCAGAAATGAGTGACTATCTATTCACTGCAGCCTTTGTATTGTATAAGGGATGCTTAATGAATAGCAAAGATATGACAGAGCTCCCTTCCTTCCTCCATTACCATACATCTTCAGTACGTGAATAGTTCAGGCAAAAAGCAGCAGGGCACTACATAAATAAAGATTACCAGAACCTAAACGTGGCCACAAATGAACTGCTCATACCATTTGAACTACTCTAACTTCATGAAACTTTATACTTGTAGCAATTAATGGGGGGTGTTAACACACTGACTGTAAAAAGTCAGGCTTTGTTTTTGAAAAACAGAATCAGGTTATTGAATTTTTACATTGCATGACCATAATTATCCATGCATTTGTTTCCCTTTGATAATTCTGCAAGTAGGGCCTAAAAGTTACAAACTAGTATTTGTTCCTCACTTCCCCATCTCCTCTCTGCTAGATTTCTGTTTGCTCTATAATTGCACCACCATAAAATTAGCAAGTGTTAAGCTCATTTTGCATCAAGACCCAAACCAAAATTGCATGTGAATGTAAATTAAACCTAAAATAGTGTTATGCTTATAGAGACATATTGTGTAGCATTTATGCTACCATAACAATGACAAAAGATTTAAAGACCATGGGTAAATCATTCCATTCGTGATTATGGATGGCACTATTGAACCCATCTCATTTTTTTCCAGAAAAGCTGAAGCTGTACTTGGAGTACAAACAGGAGATACCCAGGCATGACTGAGGCTGCTGAACTCTGACAGCGCACACTGACATCCCTCTGGGGAGAAAATAGGTGTTCTCGCAGTTTCGCTTCAAAACCCAAACTTTTATAACGCTTTCTCCATGTCAGACTGGAAAAAGACAAGGAGAAGGGCATGTTGTATAGATGAGGCACCACGACAAGAAAGAAAAAAGTTTGAAGTTATCCCATCTGCATCATACCAGCCTCCCCCAGAAGAAGAGTTTCTTGGAGTGACAAGTTTCTTTCTGAACCAGACAAAAACTTCATGTGAGCACAGGCTCCGGGACACTGCACCACCACAGAGGGCTGGAAAAGCTCTCTGTGGCTTCTCTGTTATTATTATTAAGAACCTATTCCATGATGAGAAATCACCCAAAGGCTTTCTGTTCTGCTGGTGGCCTTCCCTGCGGGCACTCCCACAGGTGGCACAACCTCCAAACAAGGTGCTTGGGAACAGCGGGCACAGCTACCTCAGGGAGAGCTGGCAGAAGGGCTTTCAAGGTGGGCACTGAGAGGTGCGAGCAGAGCACTTCAGGCACTAACCCTGCCCGCCCCAGTGTTTAGCGGTGACCATTTCCCAGGGGTGAGCAGCCCCCTGCGCCCAGCAGGTGCTCGGCCTGGTGAGCACGGTGCCGAGGGTGTGCGCGGCTCAGCGCCCTGCGAGTTCCTGCGGCAGAAGGAGAAGTTGTCACAAGGAAGGCGCCGCTCCCGCTCAAACCGAAACCGTTTCGGGGCCGTTTCGGGACTTTTAGGGATCTTTTTTTTTCCCAAAAAAAAAAAAATAATAATAAAAAATAAAAAAACAGAGCTGGAAGTGAACGCAGCGGGACACAGGGGCACAGTGCAGGGAGCTCCGCGCCTCCCTTTCCCTTCCCCTCCCCGCTGTGAGCGGGGTGCAGCGACACCCCCGGGGCCACCCCCTTCCCGGTGCCGGTGCCGCTGCTGCTCCCGGTGCCGGCACATCCCGGGGTCCCGCCCCCCGGGAAGCCAGCCCTCCTCGCTCCCTCCCTCCTCCCTCTACCCCTCCCTCCCTCCTTCCCTCCGTCGGTCGGTGGGTCCGTCCCGCCCGTACCTGCCAGGAGGCCGCGGACGTCCCCGGGGATGGCGGCGGCGCCCTGCATGCTGCGGGCGGGGCGCGGACACCCCGCGGGCGGGGCGGGGCCGAGCGCCTGGGGCGCGGGCACCCGCCCGGCCCCCACGGGCAGGAAGCGGAGGCCCCGCCCACACCGGCCGCGGGGGGCGGGGCCTCGCCGCGTGGCCACGCCCCCTCCCCGCCTTCCGCCCCGCCGGACATGTTGCGTAAGGGCGCCGTGCGGGCAGGTCGTGCTTTGCCAGCAGTAAGCATGGCGGCCAGCGGTAGTCGTCTCCCCGCCTCCGCCCCGAAACATGCAGGAGGTTGGTGATTGGGCGAGGTGCACGGAAGTCGCTCTCTGATTGGTCCGTTGGTTCGGCCCTTGGTTCCCAAAGTGAGGGCGTGGAGGGTCTGTGCCCTCACCCTGTCAGAGCCTGAGCCCGACGGGTGTGAGGAGCGATAAAGACGTGCCCCATTTCTCCCAAATGTCCTCTCAGCCTCCCTCGGCGCCTCAGGCCGCCTGTGGGAACGCACAGCGCTGCTGAGGGAACAAGGGAGACGATCCCATCCCCGGTGTCCCTTGGGCTGCCCTGCTCCCCTCACGGCCTGCCGCCATTTTGAGCATTTTGAGGCCTGGGGACAGCGATGGGGACAACAGCAGCAGCGGGGGCAATAAAGCCAGGGCATGGGAGGAGGGAGGCACACGCACACGGGGCAGGCAGTGCAATGAGCCATGGCAATGGCTGGGGTCCCCGCTTGGTGCCTGCCAGCTCAGGTGTGAAGGGAGAGGTGCTGTCGCCGAGTGCCGCAGCTGGCCCAATTCGGGGTTATTTTCCTCACGGGGCCAGCTTTGGTGTGTTTGCCAGCAAATCTCTACTCATCTGTGTTTGGAACACACAAGTGGTGCAATGTGTTTAGTGTAGAAGTAGTCAAAGTAAACTACGAGCATGTGCTTCTGTGACCCCGGTGGTTTTGGCTATATCTCTGTTGTTATTAGAGGAACTGTTTGTGTTAGAGCTGCAGTTAAGTTAGCACATCTGTGTATCATACTGGGGTAGAAAAAACAGCAGGGAAAAGTGCTGTTTATGAAATTTCACCTTTGCACCAGCATAACTACCTTAACACTTGTGGTACAGCTGGCAGTGCGGCGGTAACTGTCAGGTATTAAGCAGTTTCATACCTCGGCTGATGCAGCAATGCCAGCAGAAGTCTGCAGTGGAGACATGGTGTTAGATTGGATTGTTCTCCTGACCTCTCACATCTCTTAATTCCATAGAGCAACTCATTTCAAATACATCTGGATTTTCAAAGCATTGCAGCTTTATTACCTGATTTTATGGCCATCTTGACTGAAACTCAAGCAGTTAACTAACTGATCTGTATAATGTTGCACAATCATTTTTGTGTTGGTTCTCTTAATTTCAAAATAAACATGAATGTGTATATGTCCATCTTGCCTTTTTGTATTTGTATAAATACCAACCACTTAGGCATTACAAGAATACGTTTGATTAATTTTCTGTAGTTGGCAGTGAGGACTCTTAGGGCTTATGTTAAATTACAGGTTTCAGATGTGCAGTCTTGGGAAGCTGCCATAAGGAACAGGAAAATGGCTTCCGGTCTAATTTACTTGCCCTTTTTTGGGTTAATCTTAATCCTGCTTTCTTATGTTGACTTTATGGCTCCATCCATTTCTGTTCCAGAAATGAGTCAAGGGTGTCACTTGAACTCTGTTGTAGTCTTGTTTTGAGATCACTTTTCCCAATAATTTATTCCATATGTTTACCATTCATACGAGCTTTCCCTGGGTTTCAGAACATAAAATGAGGAGAAATAACTTACCTTTATTATTTCCCTCATCCCACGCTAGTCACCCTGTTTTTTTCTACTCGTTTCCTTAAAGACCTCCTTGTTGCACTGAAGACCAGCCCATCTTACAGCTAGCAAGATTTGTGACCCAGGCCTATTTTAAGCCTTGTCGAGTTCCAGATTTACTCTTAGTTCCCTAATTTTTAAATCTACCGCTAATAGGAAGCATAATTCAAAACAGACTCCTTCATTGAAGCATGTCTGGCTTCAGAGCCATTTCAGCCTGTTTTCCGAGGATTCCACAGCTTGTGCCTCATCAAAACCAGACACACTGCATCGCCTGATCAGGCGCATAGATCAGGGATTCTTGATGTGTGGGTAGCGGCACCGCAGGGAATGCACACAAGTTTATTGTCCTTCCGCGTGGGGAGAGCTATGAAAACGGAGTTCATGAGGAGCAGCCTCCATCTCATCTGCAGGGAGCCCGCAGTAACACAGCTGCAGAAAGAAGAAAGTTTCCCATTCAGGAGAAACATCACCACCACCCTGCCCCGCTGAAGACATCTGACATCTCCAGTGTACTGGGAAATGGGGCATTTTTCCATGAAATGTTCCACTTCTCTGCGGCCCTGCTTTTAAAACTTAAATTCTAGGTTAAAAAGCAGACGGGACCCGTGTACAGCTGCTGCTTGTTCTCTGCATGTCCTTTAATAGAAAATTAATCAGATTACAGTGCGTGCACCCTGCACTGTTTCACACAGGCAGGCAGTAGGCTTGTTGAGGCTAGTCAGTATTCTCATCTGTTCATCCCCTGTTGGCTGTCTGTCTTCTTTTGGCAGATTTGAAACAATATAGCTAGTCAATAATCAGAATATTTATATTTTTTAATTATTTAATTACATTAAACAGTGGCTGGCAAAGATTTCTGGCATGCATATATAGTTGTTAAACGGAAGGAGCACAGACTTTCTTTACAAAGAAACTCAGAAACTTAACTTCTGGGTTAAAAAAAAAAATCAGAAAATTGTGTCATTGAAGGACAGTGCTCTAAACATAGCAACTCTTTATGCATTTTAGGCATGGTCACTGCACTGAAGAAAAGCTCTGGTGTCTCTAACAGTAGAAAAACATATTTTGTACCCTTTGCCCTCTGGCAAAAGATAATTAATGTTTTGTTAGGATTTGCTACTGCTGCTCAAGTTAAAATGATTTCCTCAGTCAGAGATACATCCAGGACATCACAGCACTTGTTTTGAGAATAAGTTTCTAAATTAACTTTGAAGCACAAAGAAAAGCTAACATTTGGTGTAACGACTGGATAAAATTCCACGTATCCTCTTTGACTCAGCATCCATCTTCATGAAAGCTTCCTATTTTGCTGTGTTCTTAAAGGCATCTTAGACAGAAAAAAAAAAGAAGAAAAAAAAAGTCTTTTAGGCTTTCAAGTGTTGTGTGCACAGTTGGCTTGCTTTGGCTGCACTTTGTTCAGCCCTTTGGTCTTGCACTGAGAATCCAGCCCATTGAATTCAGTCCATTGAGCAAGAGCTGAACACACTCTTTGGTTTATGGGTTGCAGTGATGATCACAAATAGAACTGAAAATGTACTCATTGAGAATGTAGAAGTTTTGAACACCAAGTACTTGGTTTTGTATTAGTTTCATGATGAAAAATTGCTACAGCACCATTTTTTTCTACATCATTTGAAGACTTTGGTGTCACCGTTGTATATGTTCACTGTTACAAAACCAATAAACTTCTCCTGGTGAAGGTGATTTGCCATTTATGAAGTAGTGTCTGGCTCTAAATGTTGCTTTCTGTAAACCTAACACGTTTTGAGACGTCAGCCTGAGGACAGCAGTTTCCAACAGGCTTAGAAACACATCGAGAAACACAAGTCATTCCCTTCTCTGTCCACGTTCTTCAAGCTAGAACATCACAGAGAGGTACTGACATGGAAAAGACTGAGAATGATTCCCCTAGACAATTTACTTTTATGTACTCTAATATATTCCAGCAGTGTCTAACTTTGCCTAGCAATTATCTCTGCAAATAAAGGTTGGTGTTTATATAATCAAATCTACAGGATGACAAATATAACTTTAAATAATGTTTTCTAAGCACTACCTGTTGTAAGGAACATGTTTGTTTAAACATTTCTTTTTACCTGAGTATCCATTAGATTGTACAGTATTAAACACCATCCAATATTTTATTACAATAAAAATATATATATTCTGTAGCCCATCAAGTACAAGTTCAGTCTCTTTTTAAAATAAAGTTTTGTTAAGAAAGCTCTCGTCAGATATAAGCTTCAGAGTTTCACTAAGATCCTGTTTTGAGGTGATTTTCCAGCTGGGTTGATTCAAATGGAACATCCTGAAAGTTAGTTTTGGCACAGGTATAAGATTTCGGTGGGCTTTTTGTCTTGCTAAAGCCTATGAAAGCGAGCCAAAGATAACTCCCAAAGTACCACAAAAAAAAAAAAAAAAAGTCCTCCACTGTTCATCATGCAGATAGCTCCAATGAAGTTATGGAGACAACCAGCTCAAAAAGAGTTGTAAGATTTCAGCTCATACTATCATACTAATGCATTTGTTCCTATTTGTGTCTAGCCCTTTGTTCTCAGACATCTTAAAAAGAAGTATCAAAGGAAAGAAGGATCTTCCTCTGCCCCTGTCTCCTCTTCAGGATGTATAGAGATGAACTGATGGGTTGATGAACTGATACATAGAGACGAACTGATGCAGCTGAGCATGGGTGTAGGAAGAAGGTGGAGAGAGAAGCCCTGTTTGACTTGAGTTAATAATATAGATCTTATATAAACTTTTATTTTCCTCCTTTTTAACCTGGATATCTAACAAATATTTTGGAGCAATTAAAAGCCTTAATAACTCAAAGACGACTAAACATGCCTGATCATCCTATTGCATTCTCCAAAAGTAAAAGCAAAATTTCTTCCTAGTTCTTCAAAAAGTAGATGAAAGAAAATCTAGGTAACCTTTAATGTAATTTTTAGTTTTCTTTCTAGTTATTTTAGCCTTTTATTATCTATGTTATAATGCATCCAGTCATGTTTTAAACAAATTATACCAAAGGTAATGAAATGAATGAACAATACTTTTCCATTAATTTATATATTAATATCCTTTATCACTTTCCTGTTGCAATAACATCACTTCAGTCCCCTGTGCCTTAAGTCACCAACCATCACGTGAGCCACTGCTGCCTTTTTTTCCTTCCATGCCTCTTATTCCATCAGCAAGGAGGAGACAGAATTTTCTATGGCCAATTTGGAGGAATTGCTGTGCTGTTTGGGCTGTCAGCACCCTTCTGCTGGTTGACCAGCCT